CGGGAAAGTGGTAAGGGTCCGGATGTCTACAGGTAGATCGTTCCACAGGGCCGGCGCAGCAAGTTTCCACCCATTGCTTCTTGTTCTGCCGTCAGGTGCTTTGGAAAACAGCTTGACTCCCTCTTCTTTGTGGCAACCCCTGAGATATTGGAACACTGCTATCATGTTTCCTCTAGTCCTTCTTTTCATTAAACTAAACATACCCAGTTCCTGCAACCGTTCTTCATATCTTTTAGTCTACAGTCCCCTAATCATCTTTGTTGCTCTTCTCTGCACTCTTTCTAGAGTCTCTACATCTTTTCTACATCGTGGCGACCAAAACTGAATGCAGTATTCACCATACATAATGAATGAATGTTATTACTAGGTTTCAGCAGTGAGATTCTCTTACCTTCCCTACCGGTTTGCAAATGTGAGAGCACATGCACATGTGCAGTACTCACGCATTATGTCAGGGTGGGTGGGTGGAGCCTCCTGCAGCAACTGCTACCGGTTCGCCCAAACCAGAGAGAACTGGCTGAATACAAAATTATTATTTTGTAATATAATAATATGGTGGCTATTATAAATATATTATGAACATGCTGAATATAATGACCCTGATTTTTTTCCCCTTTCTACCAGCTCATCCCAATGTGGCTACCAATGATTCAATCCAATCTAAAGGTAGGTTCACCTTAATGTGTTCCCAGGATGTTAACATTTGTTTGACTGAATAACAGCATATTAAAGTATGCATCTATTCCAAATTGGATTCATCAGCTATGATACTCTAAGACTCTGTTTTCATAAACATAGTTTAACTGATGTCTAGTAAATATAGGCATGCTTGGCTGTCAGTCAAAAACATTGAATTGGATCCAGAGCTGTTCTGTCAAGAATGTAAGGGCCCTTTTTTATAGGTGAAAAAAGCTGGAGTGCAGCAATTTTCTGCTGAAAGAATGGGAAAGTAAATTGTTATTTCTTTTCCTTTTCGTCTCCCCAGCCATTCCCCCACTAGTTCAGACAGGGAGAGGAAGAAAGTGGGAAGTCCAGCATGCATCCTGTTTGCCTTCCTTTTCCTCCACACCCTGGATCCGCTCCATCTTTTTGTCTTAATAATATTGTGTGCAAAATGTGTCCTTTCCCTCTTAAAGGGCCAGAGGATGACCAGCATAAACTCACATGAAGATGGTCCGATGATAATTATATTTGCAAAACTATATAAAAAATAACCAGAATAACCAAAAGTGAGAGCATGAGAGAGAAAAGAAAGCTTCCTGTGGAGCCAGAAAGAATGAGTACCACAAGCATTATAGAATAACAAAAAGAAGCGAACCTCTTGACAGACAAAACCAAACCAACTAAATGAGAAGCAAGCATGTTCAGGAATTGAGGGCACAGCATGAGCTATGATAACCGGATGAAGGAAAAAAGAAGGGAGAAAATGAACTGGTTTGCTAGAACTGCTTCCATCTTATACAGAACTGAAGGAAGCAGAGCATTCTGACCACTATTCCAACAACATGATGTTGAAAGTCTTGTTGTAATAGTGTAAACCTATACTGATTTAAAAGGCGTTATACATTTCTAAATTTGAATTGGCAGCTACTAAAGAAAATTACTGTGCTGCGATGGCCCCTTCTCTGTGAATCTTTCTTCCCTCAGTAAGAGGAGTTCTAAGTGGTACTTTCCTTCAGGTGTATGATGGCCTTTCATTAAATACCGTTGCTTCTTACTGGATTAGCTCATTATGGCCTGTTCTTATTTTCACTCTTTTATGGCCGATTTGATTCTAAATTTGAAATTTTAGGGTGATATAGGCCCGTGATGGCGAACCTATGGCACACGTGCCAGAAGTGGCACACAGAGCCCTCTCTATGGGCATGCGTGCTGTTGCCAGTTGCTCTTCCTGGTTTCGTCGCATGCATAAGCACTGGACAGTTGATCTGGTGTGCATGTATGCGGCAGCTGCTTTTCTGGGTTCCGGCGCAGACAACCCGGAAGAGAGCAGCTGAACATTGTGCATGCACACCCATGAGCACCGCCCAGCTGCTCTCCTCCGGGTTCTGGAACTCCGGTGCAGTGGGTGCCGAAAAGGTTAGCCATCACTGATATAGGTTTCATCATTGCTAAAGTTTCTTTGAGTTGATTATTAAAGAATAGAGAGAGAGAGAACTGACAATAAAACTTGTGCATATTTTAACAGCATTTATCTGCTGGCCTCCAGCTCCGCCTGCAAGCTATTCAGAACAACGTGAACCATCATAGCCTTAGAATGTTACAGGGATCCGTTCAGATCAACACCAACACCTCTGTCCTTCGCAAGTGGCTGCAGTGTACACAGTTCAAAATGGCTCAAGTGGAAATCCAGTCATCCGAAGCAGCATCTCAGTTTTATCCTTTATGAGTTGGGTGGAATGTTCTGTGAACCTGTTGGTCTAGCAATAATAGGGCTAAAGCTGTAAGACAATGGCCATCTTTAGAAACCATACAACAGTACTGTAGCCCCGTTTCGGTTTTGTTCTTGTAGAGAGAAAGAAGTGACGTGGCTAAAGAGAGTGGGCTGCCTGCGTCCCTCTGTAACCAAAAGCATGTTTTGGCTGATGCATAACATTTACAGGAATATTCTGTGAAATGAAGGGTTTGCTAACTGAGGCCTGAGTCAATGCATATAGCTACGGTAGCTCTTTAAATATATGCATTTAAAAATATTCGTTTACAAAGGAAAATGATTAGTTTCGCCCCTAGGATTTATACGCACATATGCACAGGGCATGTATGCCCACACACACACAAAGTGGTGTGAATTTTCACATACCTACGTATGCTGCTGTGTTTTTTTTTAACATTATGATAAAGTCAGCTGCATTTTCGTTGTCTTCATAGTTAAACTTGGTAATGCAATAAATCAGCCATCTCCAACCTCATGCCCTCCACATGCTTTGGACTACAAATGAGTGTGGATACGATGGGTTAGGATGATGCGAGCTGTAGCCCAACACATCTGGAGACCACCAGATTGAGGATGCCCAAACTTTTTTTCATTATAAAATAGTGACCTTGCAATTTCCCAGGATTTCCTATCCATTTTTCCCTGCAATTTCTATCAGCAACTTGCAAGCATGGCCTGTGCCAAAAGAAAAGGAAAAGGAAAAATAACAGGAAAGGAAAGGAAAGAAAACCTTCCAGATTAAACACTCATTACCCCTCCCTTCATGTTATGCACCTCTTGGATAACAGGTACCCATTGCAAACTTGGGTAGGAGAGACATCATTCTGGGGCCAATGCTGGCATTTTGCCCAGGGGAACGAGACATCCAAAGCCAATTCTGCTTACTTACAAAGTGCACTTAGAAATTAGGTGGGTAAACTGTGCCAGTTCACTTGTCTTTTTTAAAAAAGAACTACTGAGTAAGTTTAAGAACTTTAACTTGGTTTCATTGCCAGTATTTTTCTTGCAATTCTTAGAAACTCTCTGCATACTACTACCTGTATGATATATGCTATTTCTTCTTATATACTTGTACACACTGAGATTTGAAATCGGTCCCATTCATGGGGATGCCAGAGAGAATATGGATGCTTCACTCTTCCCTGAGGGAGATGTTTCAAGTTATCAATTTACATACAGTAAATAGAAAATATATAGAACTACTGCATAAAAAAACCCAATGTTAAATATTTTTTAAAAGTGAATTTTAATAGCATTGAGAGAGACTGATCCACTGAGATGTATAGCAGAGCCATTGGTTGCAGTGGACTCTGGATCAGTATCTTTACCTAGCAGAACCTCTTGTAATTAAAACTTTTTGTGTGTATACATAACTGAAATATATTGTATTTATTGCTGTAATCTATTGAAATAAAGATTTAAGCTTTATATGAAAATGCTATTAAAAGTGTAACTCTTTAATATCCTGAATAATATTGGTTAATATTCTGTAAAAAAAAAAAACATTACTATATTATGCAGCACCCCCCCCTCCCCCAATTATTCCCTTGAGTCTCCAGGAAAACTTGACTGATCTTTTAAAAAAAGGCAAAGCTGCAGCTGGTTGATACTAGATTGAGATGCTGTTGGAAGTCACGGGGTTATTCACTGTAGTGGGAAGTGGAAAAGCTGGACTTGAGAGATTTTGTTTACTGCAAATAGAGTTTCCCCATACAATAATGATAAGAACAGTGCCATACCATTAGCCACTTGCAGGGATATCATTAGCTGTTTAATGCTGTAAATGGTATGTTCTAGTTGCCCATTTGGAAAAACAGAAGGTGTTTATAGATAGACAAATTCTGCCACTATCAGCCAAAAAAAAATCCCTCTCCATAAAAAACAAAAGCATTGAGCAGCTGTCACATGTTTGCCTCTCTAATGTAGGGGGTGGGTGGGGAGAGAATAACCAGCAGTATGGTGAATGGATCCAGTTACAAGAGCCTGAGGACAGATCATAGCAATAGCAATAGCAGTTAGACTTATATACCGCTTCATAGGGCTTTCAGCCCTCTCTAAGCANCCTCCCCCCCTCCACCCTACCTCTATCTTTTGAGGAAATATTCCCCCCAAAATTCAGCTTCCACTTCTCTTTTAGATACAGGAGATATTTATATAAATTATTGTGCAGAGTTTCAATATAGAAATGCAAGAGGCTGTTGTTGTTACTTGATGTTAAGCCAATTTTTGGTGTGTTTATACAAACATTGTTCTGTTCTAAACTAAGTGAGGTATTGCAGTAGATTATAATTCTTCTGGATTATGTTCCTTATTTTAAACATGCTACAATAATGAGTACTGTATAGTTATGTAGATGAGAAGGGAAAATTCCAGCGCTGCATTAAATCCCTTGTAGGTGCAGGAACAATTATTTTCATAGGTCCTTGTTCTGGTAATAATCCAGATGTTTAGCATTATACATATATTCCCTGAAGCTACATTATTCAATAAATCACAAGGGATAAGACAGTACGTATCTGCATAATAATGTAGGAATAATGCCTTACATACACTTAACTTTAGTATATATGATTTTTGACTTTACTGTCACTTTCCTACTTTGAGATTTTCTATTTAAATTGAAGTTTTAGGCAAGAGCTACTTAGGTTTTAGGCCTGTTGTCCCCATTGGATAATTTGCATAATAATTATTTTTTACTCCTAAATTTGAGGAAAAGTCTGTTTTGTTAAGCGTTCAGCAACTTTACTTCCATAGTCTTTTTTTACCTAGAGAAAGGTGAGCAAAAATGTGTTTTGGTGTTAATTATACAATCAACAATATTGTAAAAAAACAACAACACAATGCTAAGATGATTTTGATCAGAAAGGCAAGATGTTGTTGTTTAATCAGTGTTTAAAACAGTGTTAAAAAGCTTTTCAAGTGCTTTTGCATTAATATCTATACTTTTTGAGAATGTCAAAACCGTGTTCTAGTGCAAATTAAAACATAAATTAAAAAATAAGTGAAAATCACTGTGCTAACATGGCAATGATAAGAAAGTATGCACCACAATTTATCCTGTGTGTGTGTCTGTGTGTGCGTGTGTCTGTCTATCTATCTATCTATCTATCTATCTATCTATCTATCTATCTATCTATCTATNGTAAACCGCTTAGAGAGGGCTGAAAGCCCTATGAAGCGGTATATAAATCTAACTGCTATTGCTATAAACAAAAATATATCCTTAGTTTCAGGTTGAATCTCTCTTTAACAAGCTTCCATTGCCCTCAGGTGCTTTGGAGAATAAGTCAGCTTTCTCTGTGACAACCCATTAGTATTGCAAGATAATTATCATTCCTCCATGATCCTTTTCTTTAATGGGCTAGATATACCTAAATCAGGTGGTGAGTTTCAAATTTTTTACTACCTATTTTGTGGGTGTGGCCTATTTTGTGGGCATGGCTTGGCGGTCATGTGACCAGGTGGGCATGGCCAACTTGTAAAATATGGTGAAACTCATTTAACAACACTCTTGCTTAGCAACCAAAATTTTGAGCTCAATTGTGGTTATAATTTTTCTTTCTTTCTTTCTTTCTTTCTTTCTTTCTTTCTTTCTTTCTTTCTTTCTTTCTTTCTTTCCTTCTTTCCTTCCTTCCTTCCTTCCTTCTTTTTTCTTTCTTTCTCTTTCCTTCTATTCCTTCTATTTCTATTTCCTTCTCTTTTTCTTTCTTTGTCTCTCTTTTTTCTCTCTCTTCCCTTTCTTCCTTCTTTCCTTCCTTCTTCTTTCTTTCTTTCTTTCTTTCTTTCTTTCTTTCTTTCTTTCTTTCTCTTTCTCTATCTCTCCCCCCCTCTCTCTCACACACCTAACCCTTTACAACCCCCCCCAAAAAACTAAAACTTTATTTTTAAAGCATTTTGCACCCGGGGAAAGTCAGAACAAGGCACACAAGCCACACACCACCTCCACTGACTTTGAAGTTTTTCTCTCAAACTGCCCAAACCCCTCAGTGTTCTTCATCCAGCTCAGCAGTGGGGCTCTTGCCAGAGACTCCTTCCACTCCGCTGTTTCGGGCCAAGAAGCGATGCCTCTGCTGCTGCTTCTCGGCCTGATCCTCATGTTTTAGGCTGAGCAGCATCAGCAGGAAGAGTGCAAGAGTGGAGTTGCTCTTTTTTTCCACGGGGCCAAAGGAGGCAAGGTGGCCTCAGGTGCCATCTGGGGAGAACCCCTCTCTTTGACAGCTGCCTCATTTGCAGTGGGGTGGGGGAGAAATTCATGCATTAGAGGGGGGAGAAGGCTGTCTCTAGCAGAAGCTCGACTTTCTCCCCCTTCTAACACATGGATTTCTCATCACCCCATTGCAAACAAGGGGGCTGTCAAAGAGAACAAAGCCCAAGGGGGGCTTCTTCCAACAGCCGAGTCTTCCACTCCGGCAAAGGAAGTGGATGGGCAGTAAGCATGGTGCGGACAGGCGGGGCGAGAAAGAGAGAGAGCAGCTACCAGGCAGGCAAGGGAAGCGAGTAGGGGCAGGGCAGGGCAGGCCTCCAGCTCTACTGGTACACAAACATACACCTGATTTTTGCTACCGGTATGGGCGGACCCATGCGGATCTGTAGTAACCCACCACTGCCTAGATCCCTTAACTGTTGATCGTACAGTTTAGCCTCCAGATAACTTATCATCTTTATGCTCTTCTCTTTACTCTTTCTAAGGTCTCAGACTCTCTTAGTATTGTGGTGTCCAGAACTGTATGCAGTTCCAAATAGTGGTGATTATGTTTTACCTCAGGGGAATTTAGTTTCTTTAAAATAAAAGATACCAAAGAAATAAATGCCTCAAGGAATAAAAGTTTTTTAAAATATAGAAAAATGTTATATGTTACAAGATGAGAACAAAAAAGGGGTTATCTTGGGATTTATGTTTGAGAATAGATCCTAAAGATCCTAAGGAATATTCATCCTCCCCCCTCAATTTTAGTTTAAAGCCCTTCTGATAAGTTGAGTCAATTGTTTTCCTAATACATTCTTCCTGGTTCTTGTGAGATGCAGCCCATCCCTTATCAGAAGCCCTTCATGTAGGTAATGCAGATAATGGTTTAGGAATCTAAAGTTCTCTTAATGGCACTTAAGCCAATGATTCATTCCTAAAATTCTCTGTTCCCTCATTAGGTTTTGATCTAGCATTGGAAGTACAGGTGAAAACAGTACTTGTGCTCCTAACTCTCTAACATTCTTGTGTAGCTGCTTGTAATTTCTCGATAATTTTTACAGGTTCGTTGTTGTGTTGTTTGTCCCTTTGTGAAGGAGAAGAAAAGGAAAGTAATTTGTGGGCTTATTTTTGTAAGGTTCTCAGCCACATTTTTAGTTTTTACTCCAGGGAGACAACATACCTCCCTAAATTGAATGTCTGCTCTACAGATGGCTGGTTAAGTTCCCCAGAGAACTGAATCTCCTATCATCAACACTCACTTTTTTTCCCTAGGAAAGTCTGAGCTACTTTTCTTCCTTTCACAGTAGCACTTGATGATGCCTCTTTTACAGTGTCTGCAGGCTTTCTTTCAGGATAAGATTATGAATGATTGATTGATTGCTCTGCTCCAAAGGGGCTGGACTAGAGAGCAGGGCTACTTTTCTTGGCTGCTTTCTGTCATTCTTCCTCTAAAGGTACATTTGCAAGGTAATTTATTTTAGAAGTTGTTTGTTCCTTATTGTGTTCAATATGAATATGGTCTTAGGTTGGAGTTTCTCATTTTCTAGATTGAGTTTCAGATTAGCTAGTATTTCCTCTAGACCAGTGTCAGTAAACCTTTTCGACACCGAGTGCCAAAACAGGAATGTATCCCCGGATATGTGTGTGCATGCAAGAAACTGGAAGAGCAGCCACCCGGTATGCATGAGCACGCCAGGAGGCTGCTCTTCTGGTTTTTAGTGTTTGCATGTGCATTGATGTTCAGGGGTGGGTTTCAGCTGGTTCTCACCGGTACGCTAGAACCCGTTTGTGAAATTTAGCTTATCTTTTGGGACCTATTCGTCTGGTGGCACAGTACTGGAACACTCCCTTCTGCCTGCCCCCCCTCACTCATTCACCTCGCCTGTCCGCACCATGCTTTCCCTGCCTGCCACTCACTGATTGGCTGACTCACCAATCGCCCCGCCTCTGAGAGGCAGGGGGCTTTCTCGCATGCCTTCTTTCTTTCTCTGAAGGCGTGTGAGAAAGCCCCCACCCACATTGCCCGAACGTGTGAAGGAAGGAAGCTGCAGGCTCCTTTGCCTCAGCTATACAACCTCCTTTCGTTCTCTGTCTCCCTACTTCACTAGTTCAGGGAGCAGAGAACAAAAGGAGGTTGCATAGCCAAGGGCAAATGACCTTGATTGGCTGGCTCACCAATCACCCCGCCTTACGCTCGGGCAGTGGGACCTTTCTTGCACACC